CAAGTATTAGAGTTAGTATATATTGGAAAAATGAGATGAACTTCATTTCTGGTGAGATATGTGAATACATAAATACACAAAATGCATTTGTATTTTGTGCCGGACACTCGTCCATCGCATTCATCATGGGGCCCCATACCTGGAAGTTAGACAAGGACCTAATCAGGTCCATATGGGTGGCTTGTGCATTATCCTTTGGGATTCCTCTTCTTCCTCTTTCCATCTCTGGTGTACCAGTATGCCACACAGCATGTTCTATCCAGTGGAATTTGGACACCTGAGGGTCAGCTCTCTTCAGGGCGACTGAGAAGATGATGTCCTGGTGATGCTAGAAGAGTTTCCTGGGCCACTGGCTACCTTTGATTTTACCATGTACCATGGTCCTTTCCTGGGTCCTTTGGGCCTGTTGTGCTCTGTCAGTCATGGTGTGTGCCAACCTACCAGAACGTAGCATCTTGGGCAAGAAACCTAAAACAAGGCCATTCATACACCCTCCTCTGGGGGAAAGGCCAGTGCAACCCTCTGCTGGGCAGAGGGGCCAACATTCAACTCCCTGCTGGAGATAGTAAAGCCAAGACCCAAGAGAGCAGAGGAGACACATAAGCAAACAATAAAGCAAAATCAAAATAAGGGGGGGGGGAGAAGGAAACTATATTTAGAGTGGGCATCTTCCACGCCATCTATACATGCCAGGCCTTGCCACCCTTCATGTCCACCCTATGTGATATAAACAGTCTCCTGGTTCATATATGTGAGGCTCTGAGAGATTATGGCTAATGTCTATCCAGGGCTTGCTATATACCATTTATTTGTCACTCATCCCATTGTGTAGGTTCAATTATCTCTATTTTATAGATGGGAAACCAAGACACAGGGACACCAGGTAACTCCCTAGTTGTCACAAGATAATAAGCATTAGCAACAGGACTGGAATCTAGAAATTCTGACTCCAGATCCCAAGTATTTAACACTTAGGTCTGTAGCCCCTCCCAGGCCCCAGAACTATTGGCCCTGCATCTCCACCCTCAGGTCTGCTGGGACTGCCGCATGCCCAGTGTCCAGGCTCAGCAGCCCCTCCTTCTGTTCATGGAGATGTTCTCAACTGGTGCTATTAACCAAAAAGACCCCAGGATGCAGCTGCCAGTCACACAGGCAGTCTGGATCCCCAGCCTGGCCTCTGAGGACAATGTCCCTGTTGCTTCTGGGACACTGATCCAGGGTCCACCAGTGGGCAAGGGGATTTTGCCTTTCTTATGTGCCACCAGTGTTGGCTCAGTCATGTCAGAGGATCAGGGCTGGCCTGGGGCCAGACTCTCAGAGGTGAGATGAGCTTGGCATCCTGCCTGCATCCTGGACTGCCCCTGCCTCCACATCAATGGACAATGCCACCTTGAAAAGTCACTATAGGGGGCTGGGGCTGGGGCTCAGTGGTAGAGCACTCGCCTGGCACGCGTGAGGCACTGGGTTCAATCCTCAGCACCATATAAAAATAAAATAATAATAAAATAAAGATATTGTGCCCACCTATAACTAAAAAATAAATGCTAAAAAAAAAAAGTCACCATAGGCCAAGGGACGCTTGGTTTTCCTGGGGACCGCTCCCCTGCCGACTCTCTCAACCCTTTCTAGAAAGTACTGAGGAGGTGAACTCTCAGTGTGCAGAGGGAAGTGCCCAGGAGTTTTACTCATTAATAGCAGAGCAGAGGCAGGGGTTACAGGGTGCTGAACAGAGAGGATGCACACCAGACAATGCACAAGCAAGTGTGGAATGTTAGAAGAGACCCCTGAGAGACAGAGGAGACCAACACTAGTCTAGTCTGGCTCAGGTCCAGTATGCACTTCTTAGCCAAAAAAACTGGCTCCAGCTCAGACCTAAATGTTCTAGGCATGGAAAAAAAAAAAAAAGAGAGAGAACTTCTTGTTAATTCTAAGCAGCTAAAATGTACTACCCCTGTGGCAGAATTTGCTATTTGATGCCCCAATTTGTACTCCCTCTCTTTTCCGTAGTACTAGAATTGCAAAGTTCTTAGTCTCACCTCAGCCAGCTGTGGACACATGACTAATTCTGATTAATGGGATGTGAATGAAAACCAGGTATGTGTGTCTTTGAAAGGAAGTAGTATGTCCTTGCCTTTTTCTATGCTCCCTTCCTCTTGGTTGGAATGGAAATATGACAGGAATCAGAGCAACCTTGTGGGGCCACAAGATAGAAGCCTCTGCTCACCTGTTTGAACTTTTATATGACAGGGATTCAGATTTCTCTCTTTTTAAAGCCAATGTGATTTTTATCTCTGTCACTGTAAGCAAGCTGATAACCCAGTACTGCATCCCAAAGCTTAGACTCCCCAAATACCCTCCCTTTGGGTAGGGTTGGAATTCAGTGTGTGTGTGAAACACAGTGCTGTAGGAGCTCCATATATCCCAGAACTCACCTGCCCCGGATCACAGGGAGTATATTTTGAGGAGAATTGGTTGGAAAACAGAAGAGAAGGCCATTCTGGATAGCATCTTTCCCTGCAAGCAGGTGACCACTTGCAGTCAGGATTCTCTGGTCAGTTTTCTAGAAAAATGGGGCAAGCTCGGATTGTTTCATTCAAACTGATGTTCTATTGGTTAAAACATCTGGTAGGAGGAGGTGCTGGGGCTGTAGCTCAGTGGTAGTACATTGCAAGTGTGAGGCACTGGGTTTGATCCTCAGCACCACATATAAGTCAATAAATAAAATAAATGTCCATCAACAACTTAAAAATAAAATCTATCTATCTATCTATCTATATAGATTTATTTATTAAAAACAAAACAAAACAAAACACCTGGTAGGAGAGGAAAATCCCTGTATTATGGTTGAGACTCCGTGGTACAAAATTGAGTAGTGGTTATGAACCAGTTTCTCCACATGTAAAAACAGAAACCACAATGCTCCAGAGGCTCTGTCTTGTGATCTGTCACCTCAGGAGACTGGGGAACCTCTTTTATTCAAGTCCATGGCAGATTGTGTTTTCTAAAAATGATCACCCTTTTGACTTGGGGTCTCCTGTAGTTTAACTTAGAGAGAAACCCCCTGCTGGTCTTGACCAAGGAACTTCCAGGCTGGTACCACTTCTGGCTCCCTAGTGATAGGCAGGTGCAGCACTAGAACCAGCCAGCCCATTCTTTGTGTCACAGACCAGCCGTGGGACCTTGGCAACTTTCATTATTTCTCATTTTCAATGATGAGCTTGGCATTCTGGAGCCCAGCTTCCTCTGGGTTGTGCTTAGTGAGGACAAGCTGGTCTCTTGGGGCCCGACCTTTCTGGGCACCAATGTCTGATGGTCTTCAAGGGCAGAGCAGGCTGACCTCTGTTGACTGACCTCTGTTCACCTGTGTTTCTACTGTTTTCCACAAAACTGATGCCTTTACCTTCTATTTCTTCATCTTAGCATCTTTGAGCCAAAGTCTTCTCCCCTAAAAGGAGAGTCTTTGTCCCTTGTCGTTCCTAAGTGATCTCTGTGTATCCCTGGAGGAAGCTTTTCCTGACGAATTTCTTCCCACCTCCTCCACAGGCTGCCAGGTTCTTGAGTGGGCCACTGAGGAGTCTTCTGAGCTAAGGAGGACTTTGAAAAGAGGTGTTAGAGCCCAGCCATTCCGAGTGTGGCTCTGACCAGCAAGTCCACACCTAGAATTCTATGCTTTTTCTCTTTCCTGCTTGGGATGACATTGATCTTTGAAAGTGGAAATTATCTAATCAGGAAAGGCCTCCAATAACCAAGACAGGCTTATGGAGGAAGGCTGACTGGGACTCCTGGGTGGCTTTGTATCTGTCTGCTATATCCACCTTTGGTCCATTTATTGAAAGTATAACCTAAGACCCCTCTTAAACCTGCTCTGCCTCAACCATCTCTTCTAAAAAATGGGGATTACAAAATCCTTTCATGCTTGAAAACAAGGGACTGGTCTTTTAGATCTCTTGAGTTCCCCAATGTCTCTGAGAATTGGAGTTCTTTTTTATTTTAGTAATGGGGATTAAACCCAGGGCCTTACACATGCTAGGCAAGTGCTCAGCCACTGAGCTACATCCCAGCCCTTTTAATTTTATTTTGAGACATAGTCTGGCCTAAAAGTTGCTAAGGTTGGCCTTGAATTTGCAATCCTCCTGGTTCAGCCTCCTGAGTAGCTGGCATCACAGGCAGATACTACCATACCTGGCTTGAGAATAGGAATTCTATGAGAGATTGAATTATTGATTTAGAAACAACCTCAAAAATTTTCAGGAAAGTTACGAGTACAGTATAAAATTTTTTCCCAGAACCATTTGGGGAAAACATTGCTGACTCAGTGCCCCATCACCTTCCAATATTTTGGTATGTATTTTCAACAAACAAGAACATCCTCCTCCATAACTGTGATACAGGTATCAAAATCTGGAAGTTGATGTTGATCTGTCACTACCATCCTATCCTCATAGCTCATTAAGTGTTTTTTTAAATTTCTTTATAATGTCCTTTTAAATGAAAATCTGAGTCTCCAAAAAATGTTGTTTATTTGGAATTAGCAGAGCAATGCAATGAGTCTATGCATAGCATAGTAAAGTGAAATTCAAAGGAGCTGAGACTGGGAAAAAATTTTAAAGACAAAAATAAGAAGGATTACATCAGGTGTTTGGAAACAACAACCTTCAGCCACAGTGATTAATAACAAGGGTGGCCTCAGCCTGAGGATGAACAGACAGTTGCTGGATAGATGTCCTTGCAAAAGTGCTTTTTGTATAAGGTTTAATCTTGTAACTTTGGCAGGGTCTTTTGTGACAGTTGCTATCAGGTACTTTTGCATAATAACCCTTCCTTTATAACTGCCAGACTTTATTTACTTTGTTGTTGTTAGGGTTGACATAATTGACTCCATTTTCAATTTGGCAACTTTGACATTTCTTTAATATTAACAGAAGGATCCAGAACAGTATTTCTTTTTTTAGTTGTAGATGGACCCAATATCTTTATTTTTATTTATTTATTTTATGTAGTGCTGAGGATTGAACTCAGGGCCTCACGCCTGTGAGGCAAGCACTTTATCACTGAGCCACAACCCAAGCCCAGTAAGTATTTTTTATTTTATTTTATTATTATTTTTTGTGTGTGTTTTATTAGCTACACATGACATTACAATGATCTTGGCAATTCATATATTTGAATCAATTGGGGTATAAATTCTCATTTTTCTGATTGTACAGATTGCAGAATCACACTGGTCATAGAGTCATCTATATACATACAGCAATCATAATGTCTATTCTATTCTGCTGCCCTTCCTCTCCCCCCTAGTAAGTATTTTTAAAAAAATATTTTTTAGTTATAGGTGGACACAATACTTTTATTTAATTTTTATGTGGTGCCGGGGATTGAACCCAGTGCCTCACGCATGCTAGGCAAGCACTCTACCACTGAGCTACAACCCCAGCCCCAGTATTTTTTTTAATATGTTTTTTTAGTTGTAGCTGGACACAATACCTTTATTTTATTTTAAATATTTTATTTTAGTTGTAGATGGACACAATGTCTTTATTTTTTATGTGGTGCTGAGGATTGAACCCAGTATCTCATACATGCAAGATAAGTGCTCAATCATTGAACCACACCCCAGCCTGATATCTTTATTTATTTATTTTTATGTGGGGCTGAGGATCAAACCCAGCACCTTGCACGTGCTAGGCGAGCGCTCTACCACTGAGCCACAATCCCCGCCCCCCCCCCCCCCGAACAGTAACTATTGCATTTAGTTGTCACATCTCTTTAGTCCCCTTCAATCTAGGAGAGTTCCCCCATCTTTTATTGACTTGCATAATTTTAACACTTGAGCACTGCAGACTCAGTTGTTTACAGAATGCCCCTCCATCTGAGTTTTCGGATGCTTCCTCACGCTTGGATGCAGGTTTCTTCTCTCTGGAAGGACCAGCATAGAAGTGATGCTTTAGGGCTTCCTACCAGGTACTCATGATGTCCCTCTGCTCCACCTGTGATGTCATTTCCAACACTCAATTAAGGTAGAGTCTGCCAGGCTTCTCCCCATGAAGTCATTTTCCCTGTGTTATTGTTAAGTATTTTGTGGGGAGGTACTTTGAAACTATGTAAATATCCCATTATTCATCAAATAAGTAATTACAGTGAATAATTAATTATAGATGTAATTATTAATATGACTACAACTAACAAATATAATTACTATATGTTTAGCCTCACACAGTTTCCTATTTTATTTAATGGACTGTAATGGGTTATAATCTATTTATTATCAATATGTTATTTATTTTATGCTCACATTATACCAGGTTTGGTCAGTGGCAGCCCCTCAAATTGGCTTCTGTGTTCTTTTGCCATGTCTCCCTCATTCTTTGGACAGGTGCCTCGCCTTGCCCAGCCCTCCCTGTGGCCTGTGGCCTACTCTGGCAGGGAAGGGAGGAGTCTAGGAAGGCTTCCAATGGCACCAAATATTCTAGACAGTGGTGCTAGTTGTTTGTGAAACTTAGAAACCCAAGATTCAGCCTGTGGCATGAGCTCACTTAGACTATCCCCTCAGGACCAGGCTTTCTAGTTGGGGTCATCTGTTACCTTGAGTGTGCTTCTTAGAAAAACAAAACCACTGAGGGGACCCAAGAAAGAAATGGGCCCATGGTGTCTCCTGTGCCTTCATGCTGGACCCAGGATGGGTTAAATTTGAATGTTACCCCCAGCTTCAGGACTGGCCAGGAAATTTCCCATATCTTCCCCCTGGTTATTCATGCTTACTAAAAGCAGGCGCTGCCAGTGCCTTCCGGCCTGAATCATTCCTGCATCTCAGGCTGTCCAGAGCACCAAGACCCAGCATGGGCCCCAGCAGGCAGCAGACTGTGAGGCTGTGCTATTTTTGGGCTTCCTTTTAGACCCCCTGATAGTTTTGCTTTCTGGAATATTGTTTCTTTTTCCTACAGGAGACAGATTCTAAGAAACATCTCAGGAAGCCCTGGCACTGATAATCACGGAGTATCTGTGTAATATAGTCCCAGAGGTCACCTGGGGTCGTGGTCCATTTACCAAGAGACTAAAAGAGCTCAAAATTTTAGGGCCCCTCACTTGCATGGGCCACATCCAAAATCAGGGCATTTGGTAGTCACAGTTTCGTAGTCTATCTTAAAGAAGGGCTCCCCAATTGCTTGAGTTCTTCACATGGGCCTGCCCTGGATCTACTGTCACATATGACAGGATTCCTGGGCTCAAAGTACCCCAGAGTGGTGAGAAAGGAAGGACAGGATCCCCTGGGGGAAGGCAGTTCAGTGCCATGGTAAAGAGTGAGGCTGCCTGGGTACACATCTCAGAGGTGACACTCAGATTCCAGAGGCTGCCTACCTGCCCTCCAGTGGAACCTACCTCACAGGGTTGAAGGGAGGATTAAATAGGTCCACAGACAGATACGTGGATATGCATAGAGTGAGTCCTTGAAATAGCACTTAGAGGTCTTCTCTTTCCCTTTCTCTTTATGAAGTGCTGCCGTAAAGGACAAGCACCCTGGAGAGTCTTGGTCTCCTCGTTCTGTAACACCAAGGAATGTTCCTGGCTTCTCTGGCTTTTCTAGTCAAGGTTGAAGGCTCGTGAAGGTTTCAGAACATTGGGTTTCAGGGTCAGGTTGCTGGGCTGAGTTGCCAGGAAGTGGCTGGCCTTGACCACTGCATCCGAGTATCTGCAAGTGGGCAGCAGGAAGTGAAAAGCCTGAGACCTGGCTCTGAACTGCCTCCTGGCCCTGTCCTATGGACAGGAAACGAGGCTGGGAGGATTGGGACAGAATCAGCTTTGGAGTTGCTGGCTGGGATGGTGGGTGACATGAGCTGGCCACAGACTCCAGTCTCTGGGGAGACTCACCTGGGAGGCTCTGCACTGGAGGCTTAGGAACTCCAGGCCTCCTATAGGAGATGGCAAGGTGGGGGATTTTGACCCCCTACTGCCACCAGTCTTTCTTTCTCTTCCCTATGTCAGAAAGCTGGGGGCCAAGTCAGGCATAGTGGTACACACTTGTAATCCTAGTGACTCAGGTGGCTGAGGCAGGAGGATTGCAAGTTCAAAGCCAGCCTCAGCAATTTAGCAAGGCTCTAAGAAACTTAGCAAGACCCTGTCTCAAAATAAAACAAAAAAAGGGCTGGGGATGTGGCTCAGTGGTTGAGTGCCTCTGGGTTCAATCCCCGATACTAAAAAAGAAAAAAGAAAGCTGGGGGCCAAATCACTTGCATTTCAGGTGTATTTTTTTTTTCTTCTTTCCATCCAGCTCTGTGAGACCAAAATGAATAACAGACACCATCAGTTGTCAGAGAAGGTGGGTTCCCTTGTCCCCCTAGAGAAGGCCAACCTGCCTAGCTCAGCTCCTCCCTGGACAGCATTTTCCCTGTGCCTGCCTCTCCTCATTCCAACTTCCCAGGTATGCTACCATCTTCCCTTCCTCCTATACCCCTGTCCTCTCCCTTCTGATGGCCTCACTATTCACCAGCCAGCCTTCCCAGCCCCATTCCCTCTTCAGCCAGGGTCCTGGGGACCTGGAGAGCCATGACTCTTCAACTATTATAAAGAATCCATATAACTTATACCCCAAGTGTGGTGTTTCTAAAACAATAGTATAAACTAGGACTGTCCTGGCCAAGCAAGGCTATGTGGCCAAGCTAGGAAAACACAGTCACCAGCTAATGTCATACTCCCCATTTACTCAGCCCTTGCTATCCCCTGGCTCTGCACTGTGTTTCATGTTCTTTCCAGAATAACTCACTCCAGTGTAATCCTTTTACTTGGATCAGGCAGACCCCCAACCCTCATCTTCTCTCACCTGTCCCCCAGTGATGGGCTACTGCTGACTTGTCCTGGCTGGGCAGTCTGGTACATTTTTAAGAACTTTACAAGCCAGTTGTTAAACATAGTTATCATTTCCAAATGAAATGATCTGAGCTTTCAATTAAATAATTTAAAGACAAAGGTAATAAATACTCTACATTTATGTAATCACTTCCCAACTATATTGTTTCCTGTGCTCTTGACGTGATGAGTATGGTGTCTGTATAGCTGAAAACCATATATGGTTTACTACTGCAGTCTCTTCCCAACTCTTGAGTTCAATGCTTTTGGGTTGGAAGATTTGCCCTGGTGGGAACAGTTACACTTTTGTAATTAGCAAATGCTGTAGAATCAGGGCTGACTTACTGTTTTGTTGATGGGCCTATACTTCAGAAAGTGATGTAAGAAAGAAATTGTTAGTAATGCAGATTAAACTTTAAAAGCATACCATGCCTGAGCCATTATCTTGTGAATAACAAATCAAGGAGGGCTGGGGTTGTGGCTCAGTGGTAGAGTACTTGCCTAGTACGTGTGAGGTACTGGGTTCAATCTTCAGCACCACATATAAATAAATAAACAAAATAAAGGCAGTGTCCATCTGTAACTAAAAAATTTTTTTAAAAATCAAGGAAATATTTTTCTAGCACTTGAAAAGTATGACCTGATTTAGCAAAGAAGTTGTTCATGTCATTGACAAATGAGTCAAGTTCTGACTGCATACTGCTCAAGCCAAACAAGGTTTCCATTTAATAAACACAATTAGTGTGAAGAGGAGAAATGGTTTGCCAGCAGATCACACATCAGATTTACGGACAATGAATTTAAAAGGAAAAAAGTTAGCCAATTACGCAAGTCCATTTGTCAAATCATGTCTGACTATAAGAGTTTGACCAAAAGCAATGAACAATATCTGTGAGAATCAGTTAGCTACACAGAATTTACAATGTGGAGTATTGTAAATGGTGTGCTCCACATCCTTTCTACCAGTAAAATTTGTAGGAAACACTCTTATGTATATATGTACACAAATGCTTTTCTAGAGAGAGTTGTGAAATACTTATCAACATACCACTGCCCACTCCCCGTCCTAGAGGGGACTGACTTCCTGGTCCTCTTGCAGTTGGGTGTGGCCACGTGATGAGTCCAGTCCAGTGATATGTGGTAGGAAAGATATCAGCCACATTCAGGCCTGGCCTTCAAATATTGCTCATGAGACCCTCTCAATCTCTTCCTTCCTTGCTGCAGGGACACTGGGGACCCCAATGTCTTAGTCTGTTATGTGATACTGTAATAGGACACCATAGCCTGGTTAATTTATAACCAATAGGAGTTTGTTTAGCTTGCAGTTTCAGATGCTGAGAAGTCCAAGATCAAGGGGCTACATTTCCTGCTGTGTCATAACATGGTGGAAATGTCACATGGCCAAAGAATGTGTAAGAGCAGGCAAAAGGGGTTGAAGTCTTTATAACAAAACCAGTCATAATATGACATTAATCCATTTGTGAGGGTGGAGCCCTGTGACCTCATCACCTACCATTAGGCCCCGCCTCCCAACCCTATTGAACTGGGGATGATGTTTCCAACACATGAATTTAGGGGGACATTCTAGCCATGGGCTCTTGCTAATGAAGCCACCTGATGGAGAAGAGATGCCTGCCCTGAATAGTGGCTATGAGTAAAATAAACTTTTATTTATTTAAGCCACTGAGATCACAGGTCTATCTATTACCACAGAGTGGCCTCGTCTATCCTGCTAGTCCAAGGAGGAGCCAGAGATGGGAGGCAATCTGGGCCAGGATCCAGCCCATCTTCATTCCCAGTCCTCCCTCCTACACACTTTCAGAAATATGGAATAAAGTCTGAATCCAAGGTGGGTTTTGTTTAAGGCCCCATTTCAGAGGATATCTCACAGGGCCCATTCCTGGCCATGCCTCTAAACGCAACCACCTCCAGCGGGAGGCCACCCACCAAAGTCTGTCATTAGAGGGCCAGCCAGGGTGGCCGGTGGCTGGGATTCAGCCTCCCATTAAGTGTTATTAGCCTGGCCCACAAGCACCCCTCTGGCCCTGTCATTTACTGCTTCCCTCTGTACTTAATCTGGACCAGATCTGGGACTTGGACAGACAGAGAACCAGCTTGGGAAATGATGTTTTTAGGGCACAGAACTTAGGTCCCAAATGCCAAGCCACACAAACCAGGCTCCCTGCTCTCAGCTGCAGAAGCTTCAGCTCAGCTCCACTAACCTTTGCTGTGTGCGGATGGTGAGGCAGGCACGAGGGTGTTCCGGGCAGCGCAGTAGGCCTCGGGTAGACACTGCGTAGTACTGTGGGATAGGCGTAGTATTTTCTTCTTGTTCCTTCCTGCCCTGAAAGCCTGGCTATTCTCCCTGGCTTTGATTGCAAACCAGGACGTTGAAACCCATGAGGTTGAAGTCACAGAGCCCTGAGTGGTGGGGTGACTTGAGGCGTGAGTCGGTGCATTCCTGACTCCTGATTCCGTGGTGGTGACCCTGGCCTCCACTTCCTCGGCCCCACCTGTCCTCTCCCGGTCAGGAGTTCCACCCATGACCTGTGCTTACCCTCTCCCTGCAGTGCTACTCTTGCCTTGTTGTCTAGGTGCACCACCAGGAAGAGCTCCAGAGTAGGCTCTGGCTTTGTTTTGCTCGGATTTCACTGTGTCCTCCGTGTATAGAATGGTGCCCAAGTGTTTGCTGAATGACTATTATAGAAGTGTGGGGTCTGTGTGGGCAGGGCCTGTGCTTCTCCTTCTAGGGCTCCCGCCTGGCTCAGTATTTTAGCTGGTGCCTGTGGAGACGGACAGCCCTCAACCACCCTCTTCTCCCAACCAGCATTTCCTCCTGACCTGCCCTGGGTCTGCGCACGCTGTGCCCTCTGCTCAAACACACCCTCTCGCCTTTTGGTTCCTTTGGCTCCTGCTTGTCTTCAAGTCTCAACTAAGCCCTCTTCTCTGACCTCTGTCCTGGAGCCCCCCCCCCGTCCCCGTATTATCCCTTTCACATAGGGTCATACCTTCTCAAAATCAGTGGGTCTACCTGGCTTCTTGCATTAATGCAGGCTTGGGAAGGGTGGGACCTGAATGTCCTGCTCACAATTGTGTCTTCAGTCACCAGGATGGCACAGATTAGGTGCTCAAGTGCCTGTAGGATGAATCCATGAAGGGCTGACCACTGTTGATCCCTCAAGGAAGACCCAGAAGTCATGTACCAAGGATGCAGGAAGTGCGGGCTGGCTCTAGTCTGGTCCAGGGTCCCCACTGATCATCTCCCTGACATGCTCAGGACAAAGAAAGCAGCCCTGTCTACTCTTTCCCCCTCAAACCAGACTATCTTCTTTCTAAATTTATGAGAGGAACATATACTTATTGTAAGACTTCTGAGCTATTCTTATTCACTATCTTGGCCACCTACTATGTGCCAGATGCCCCACTAGGTACTGGGGGTGCAAAGATAGTATAGCAGCGGATCTACACCCATTCTGCACCTGAGGGTAGTTCTCCTGCTGTACACCTTAGAAGAGGGCTCTGCTTTCTGTGTGCTGGCCCCATGTGTCAGAATCACACCAAGGGCTCCCACCTCCAGAGGCTTCAACCCATTAATCTCAGTGAGTCTGATCATTTGCTTCTCTAACAAATTCCCCCATGATGTTTACTCTGCCAGCAGGAAATATGATCGAGAACCATTGCCTAGACTACATGAGCCTTACAGTTGTCACAGGTTTTACACGTCTGTGCTCATTCAGTCTTTTGACATCTCTCACCTGGGTAAGACACATGACCAGTGAGAGCTGAGGTGGAACCGAGTTCGGGTCTTCCTACGAGACTGCCCTCTCTTAGCACCAGGTGGCATAGAGTTCTAGGAAAGCCTGCAAGGGTCTAACTAGAAGAGGCTGTGGAGAATCCAGGGTGACATTCTGGGAGTTAGGATGGTGGAGTCTGCTTTTCCCTTCTGGAAAGAGCCCTGGCTTGGGGCAGGATGGTCTGGGAGAGAGTGACTTGGGGGCAAAGAAGGGTCAGATGGCACTGGGAAGGAAGGGCACTGCAGCTCTGGAGGGCCTTCTGCCCCATGGTGGGGGCTGGGTCATCCCTTCTACTTTGAAGACTCTGGCTGAAAGGGCACACCTCTAAGAGGTCAGAGTGGCCTCCGTTCAGCCCCAGACTTGCCTTCCTCTGCACAGAATGTGCCGTGTATGGTAGCACGTCAGGGGCAGCACCCTGCCAGCCCAGCAACTCAGACAAGCACTTCCTTCCTGTCAGCCCCAGGCAGCCCAGGGGCTTTGGCAGGACAATCCCCCAGTGTTCTTGTTGGGCCTGGCTGAGTGGTGCTACCTCCTCAGGAGGAGGCCTGGGAGGGAGGTGCAGAGAGAGACCAGCTCTGGGAAGAGCTGTGTCCTCCACAGGCAAGGACAGGAGACGTGGGGAAGTGTGAGCTCAGATGGACAGCTTCCTGTGATGCTGTGTTTCTGAGCAGGAAGCCAGAACCCTGGAGAAGGAAAATAAACCTGGACACATATTTTTAGAAAGTGGGCAAACCCTGTTGCTCAGCATGCGGTGGAACTGAAATCTAAATCCGGCTTTCTGTGTCTCTAAGCAGAAGGCCGGGACCCACTGGCTCCATGCAGGAATGAGACCTTCAGGGGATGCGAGAGTGAACTGCCACTCCTGCTACTGCAGGAAATCCCAAGCGGTGATGGAGGTATGAGCCAGGCTCCCGCTAGGTGCTCCACATGTGCAACCCCATTTAGGCCTCACCAGGACCCTGAAAGGTAAGCACAGCTCACCCCGCATTTTCAGGTGAAGGAAGAGAGGCTCAGAGAAGGCAAGACCCTCAGAGAAGGTAATCACAGGCAGGGATGTGACAGAGCCTGTTCTATGCCAACCTCAGCAGATGGCAGTACTTGGAGGGTCACACACAGACTGGTCACTGAGCACAATTGCTCTCCCAGAGCACAGCAGGTCTCTGCCTCCCGATGGTGGGAGTTCAGGCTCACACACACAGCTCCTTCCATGCCAAGCGGTCGAAATGCCAGGCAGTTCTCTGTATTGAACTCAAACCCCTCTCCTTGTAACCTCACAGAATTATCGAGCACAACAGCCCTTTAAGCCTTGCCAATCCTCCACATTCATTTCTAGGTTTAGCCTCTTTCCAGCCATCTCTTCTCCACTCCCCAGAAAGTGTTCCAGGTTTCTATGTGGAATCTGAGATCCAGCAGAGTTGCTTTCTAAGGAGCAAAATAAATCAGGGAGATCTAATGTTTAGAAAAGGCAAAGTCAAGATAGTATGAGACAGATAGATGATTGAGCTGAGAAAACATTTTGATATCAAAGGAAAAATTGTTTGGATTTTTTTGTCCATTATGACCTATATCAGCTCTGATGCTAATTATTCTTAGAAAGAATCTACAGAAATTAATTTAAACATTAGTAACATTACTGGACCACGAGTTGAACCTCTCAAGGCAAGGTAGATGCTCCACTGAGAGTAGACACATTCCAGCAGAATTGAGCAAAAACGTAAGCGGTGTGGCTTCCAAATACTGGCAGAATTATAATTATTTATGACAGGATAGGAGGGGCACTGCCAGTGTACACTGCAGTCGTGTCATAATGGATCTAGTGTTAGGAACTTAAAATGACATACCTCCTCATCCCAGCTCCTTCCCAGAGCCAGGTTGCCCCTGGGTGGAGACCCAGGCTGAGGCAGGCTACTTGGTTGGAGTCAGGTCTGTGGACTTTCCATGGAGGCCTGGTTGTCTTTCCAGTAACAGCCACGACTTCAAAGGGCTGCCAAGGAGCAGATTGGGCAATCCCCGGCCAGCCCAGGGTAGCTGTGTTGTGCGTAGGAGCCCTGCATGCAGGGGTGTTGGAAACTGGCAATTCCAGGTTCCAGAACCAAGTCCTGAGGGGAGGGAGGGAGACAGATGGAGCCAAAGGACCTGCCTTGAACTGGATCCCCCACGGCAAGAGGTTGCAGGCTCTGGGCTCAGGGAGCTCTGGCCCTGCCACAGGCCTGCTCAGGCCTGGCACACACCCGCCTCCTTTCCTCTTCAAAGATGCCACTCCACCCACTGCAGGGCTCTTTCCTGGCTTCAAAATGTCACAATCTCCATCTGTCTTTTCTTATCCCTATAGACCAGTCCCTCATCCCTAATAGTGGAAATAACTACACATCAGGTAACACCGTGGGAGGCAAGAAAAGCTCTGTAGAAGAGAAACAAGGTGGCAAAGCACCCTTCCTCTTCTTGATGACACCAAGGAGACTCAGCCCCCTCCACACTCAGGAGGAGAGAAGGCTGGGAGGCAATGGCCCTGCTCAGCTTAGGTAGCATCAGTGAAGGGGCCGGAAACAGGGAGTCTGCGGCCTAGTCAACCAGTGTGATGGAAGTGATGGTCCCCAGAGGCCCTTTTGAAGACAAGCTACCTGTGAGTGTGAGCACCATGTAGTCCCACTGGCAGGTGGTCACAGGAATGGAGATGATGGCCAGCTGCTGCTCTCAGCATCCACCACATGTGAGGGACACAAGGGTTTGCTGAACAAGAGGATGTTGTCATAGTCTATACCACTTGGCTCACCTCCCAGCTTCAAAAATGAAGAAAACAAGTGTCAAACCAGATGTGGTAGACAGGCCTGTAATCCCAGTGACTCAGGAGGCTGAGGCAGGAGGGTCACAAGTTCAAGGTCAACTTCAACAACGTTGAAATCCTGTCTTAAAAAAAAGTTTCAAAGCAATTTTTTTTTGGGGGGGTGTTACTGGGGATGGAACTCAGGGGCACTCAACCACTGAGCCACATCCCCAGCCTTATTTTCTACTTTATTTTAGAGACAGGGTCTCACTGAGTTGCTTAGCACCATTGCTGAGGCTGGCTTTGAACTCATGATCCTCCTGTCTCAGCCTCCTGAGCTGCTGGGATTATCGGCATTCGCCACCGTGCCTGGCTCAAAACAATATTTTTCCATTCACCATCCTACTTCCACCAGATGTTTTACAGGATAAACATTTTTCTTTTTACCTTTAAGATTGGACTGAAAAGTAAAGAGCCTTACAGAAAACTTCAACCAACACGTGGAGTCCATGGTCAAGTATCCCCGCAGCTCTGAGTTTAGAAGGCAAGACCCAGGCCAGGGGCGCCTGGGCTGATAGGGCGTCTGCCTGTGTGTGTGTGTGTGTGTGGGGGGGCTCTTCCTTCCACCTTTTCACTCTGAAAATTGTCCTTACAAGGCAGAGGTCATCTTCCCCAAATTCAGATGCTGTGATACTAAATAAATGGCCAAGAAAAAGGAGCAGGCAACTTTCGGACAAGAGAACTAACTGCATGCTGAAGAGACCCTTGTCACTTGGCACCACAGCCAGCTGCAATGGCTATCAGTTCTGGCAGGACTTTGTCATGGCACAAAGGTCCCAGAGACCCGAAGTCATCCTCAGTGACAAGGGCAGACCTGGCCGCATGTCGTGACCCCCCAAGGTAAGAAGCAAGGTGACGACAGCACAGAATCAGAGGCACCAGGACTGAGGTCAGACAGGCCATTCCAAAGAGGGAGCTCGCACTCAGGCACAGGAGCCGTTGGCCTGCCATGGATTCCTGTCTATCCAGCCCCACCCCTGAAAGGTATTTCCAGAATTTAGGTCACTACACTTGGCAGCTTTTCTTCACACACAAATGCTCTGAGGTTAAAGTTTATGAAGTGTGACCTGTGTGCCAGTGACTAAGTTCCATGAGCCTCAGCTTCCAAATGTGAATCCTGATCCGCAGCTAGGGCGGGACAGTCACCGTCACCACCTTGACAGCCAGCACGGGGCTGGGGGGGTTGTAGACCCTGAACCTACAAACTGGCTGGCCCACGACCCAGAAAAGAGACCTTGAGGCCCTTTACAACCTGAGTGGGCTTCACTTTCCAAGTGCTTCATGGACCTCAGCAGTGAGGTTCAGTGGGAGGGGCTGGCTTCAGGCTTTTAAGGCTCTCTCGGGAATCGGGGAAACCCAAATTAACCTCACCCCACAAAGCAGCAAGGAGGCCTCTGACCCACCTGGTTGTAGATCACCAAAGCACAAAGGCCTGGGAGACCCCAGGGCAGATATATGAGGGGGCAGGACAGCACTACAGGGGCACTGCTTCCTGCTGTAGGCTGGGGACACCACATGGGCCACATACGCTTCTTGGTCCTTATTGGAAGTCACCATGTCCCCGCTTTCAGCTGGTGTTAAACAGGAGGTAAGAAGCTGGCTAAAGGAAACCCTTTCCAGCCCTGCCAGGACAGTCACCATGAGGGAGAGTGAAGACTGCTGTGACCCGAGTGATTGGCACTTCTTATGAATTGGGAATGTGTAGGGTGGTTTTGTCATTTTTCTAAATAGAGGGACCTTTTAGAAGGACTTCAACTGTCACACACAAGGACTGTTTCTAGACTGCAAAGTGTGGGGGTGGCCTCAGGCCTCTTCTGCAGATGAGGGAGCACCACCCAACAGGGCTCTTCTGCTTAGAGAGAACAGGTGATGTTGGAGGGGACTTGCGGGAAGGTGGAGGGGCAGGTGTTAAGCAGGGCTCCCGGCTGCCTCTTTTCAAATTCAGTTACAAAGATTTTTCCAGGTGGTGGCAGCTTCGTTGTCTTCCTTTCTCAGATGTCTGAAAGCAGGGCTTGTCCAACTAGTAGATTAGAAGGATATGGGGATTTGTTCCCCATACTTTAAAGCAGGGAAAAAAGCCTTGTTGTGAAGAGAAGACAAAACCTGTTTGGTAACTTGTCATTTCAGTGAGAACCTGAACTGCTCACAGGTGAACATTCCCCTCGACTCCCTCGACTCCGCCCCTTCCTCCTGCCCGCCAGCAGCCCTGGCTGGGGACAAGAGAAACAAGGCTGCTGAGATTCATCCAGAGGACACCATTACTGGCTGACAGAAGTTTAAGAACCCAGAGGCAAAAAAAAAAAAAAAATGTTTATTCCTCTTGCCATGTCAAGTATAAAATACCCAAACAGTGCCTTTGTTGTCAGGTGCCACCAGGAAAACATTAACACAGCAGTCACACATTTTTGATAAGAGTAAACTGTTGTCAGATTTATCTGATTTCTCTCTCTTCCTCTTTAATAAACATTAGAGAACTGACTTCTTACATCACCACTGAGTCCTCTGAAAGGTTGGATCCTCACCACGAGGGCCATGGGATTTTAAAAAGGGATTTCTCATTTTCTTAAAAATATCAATGCTAAGGGTTCCATAGGCCTATTTATCAACTCCATCAGGGTCCTACAGTGGGAGCTACCCACCAGGAGTGGACTGGAGACTCCCCAGCAGTCAAGCCCGCTATGCAGCCTGAGAAGGGGAGGGAGGAAGAAGGCACCTTAGGCTCCGAGCCCTGGACATGAGCCTTCCACCAGGTGAATCTGCATCAGGTCAAGACACCTGAAGCAGAGGGCTCTACTGTTAAACACCAGACAACAGTGCCTCAAAATTCCTGAGGGTTAGCATCCCAGAAACCACCTCTCCCCTGGTCCTTTCTTCCTCAACCAGCTTCACAGGAGAACATGAGCTCAGGGAAGGAGAGAAAAAAGCAAAGATCAAACTTCGTGCCAGTTTTGTGAAGATAAGTATGAACATTAGGAACAAAATATCAGAGAAGATAAGGAGGACGTGAGAACTGGAGCAAATCCCTTTATTCTGGTAACTGCAAGGAAGTACTATTTACAGAAGAGACTCTAGTTTGGGCATCTGTACACATGCTCCTAAAAGCAAAGGTTATTTTTTTGCTTGATTTTTAAGTATCAAGAAAGAATTTTATAAAGTGGAGACTCATTTGCAAGCATTACTTGAAAAGAAACTGGGCACTTTGGACTCATCTTTCCTTTTCATTACAATCTGGCTTTGAAATATGGTCCTTTAAATTACCTTGAACAGGATGGCTTTAAGAATGTCACATCATGTAGTTATGGCAAGGAAACTAACGCCCCTCAGCAATCAAGACTTTTTGTTAACATGATTTTATACACACACACACACACACACACACAAAACATATATATATATATATAAAATACAGGTAGGCCATTAGCAGCTGTCTTTTGAACCTCTTACAAAACATAGAGCATTAGTCACTAGGGTTCTGAGCACGAGAAGCGGGTATATTAATAGTATAATTATGAAACAATAAAAACATGAATAAATAGAAGGAAAACATAATCATTTAAAAGAAAATCATTGGGAATATAGTGTATAATATTAAAAAGTTGCTTATATGAAAGATAAAAACTAAAATTTATTTTTCAAAAATGTCATTATGCAAACAAATATACTAATATACAGTCAAGTTCACCCTGTTCACAACAAAATCATAGGACAAGATAAAAAGAAAAAAATCCTCATATTTAAAGGATTTTAAAAACATTAGCTGTGTCAAGACTCTCAGTTACTGAACATTATATGGCATCTCACTTTGTAAAAAGGAAACTCTCACGAATCCTCTAAACAAAGACAACATAAACAGGAGTAAAATTAAAATAAGCACTTTTAAAAGCTGTAAGATTAACACACCTACTTAAATCAAGATCAAGAATCTATGAGATTATTTCATCAGGATAAGAGCTGAACAAGATGCTAAATACTGAGGTTCTAAGGAAAAAACCATCATCATTTGTTTACTGTAACTTCCAAGACCAGCGGAATACCAGGAACACACCCTCCCGCACGTGTCAAGCCTGGATCCAGTAATACTCAGCAGGAAAGAGACGGGCTCTGTGAGGGAGCTGGTGGGGACACACCAGGGTGTGACTGTGCAGGGCAGCCCTTCCCTGTCTATTTTTAGAAGTTTCAGACTCAGACCTTAAATAGTCTGGATGATAATGCTCGTGGCTACAACCCAGCGTGGCCTGGGAGAAAAACAGTTCTTTTCACGCTGCCTAACCTAGTTCCCGGGTTTTTTCCCTTTTAAATGCATCCTGAGATGTTGCTCATGGAACATGTTCAATCGGGAATCTTTCAGAATCTTCTGTTTCCTAGATATCGTGGAGCACTCAAAACTCGAATTGGTTGATAAATAAGATTAATATTTTAAAAATGTTCTTTAATAAAACAGGAACCATCTTGCTTCTTTGGAAGCAGGAAACATTACCTTAATTGGGAACAGAACAACACACCGTTGAGGGAAAAAGTACTTTTAGTTCACCAAAATATGGACACATGGCCTTAGAAGACTTCCATATTAGGAAGTAAGGATTTCTTGTGTCATCCATGGTAATGCTGAGGGGGCTGTGTCCATCAGGAGAAGTGCTGGTTGCTACATAGCAGGGTTTTCAGAAGTTTATATTTACGGACTAACAAATGTGCGTGTATATACACACAATGCCTATTATATGTCAACATATAGTATGTACATATATACACACAACACAGACTCATACACCATCCTTTCCAAAAATCTACCTATTTGACTCTCACACCTCAAAATGATAGTGAATCATACTGTGAAGATTTCATTTCAATTTTCAATTAAACTGGGAAAACCAAGTGGATCCAGAAACAAAAATATACCCAGGTGATGTTTCATCTTTCATACTTTAAAACTAAACAAAGGGACAAAAAAAAGTATATTATGAAACTATGAAAAATTTAACAAGCTTTTCTTCTTAATTTTCTTAGAAGAGGAGGTGAAAATCCTGAGGATGAGATCTAAACTGGCTTTCATGTCCTCCACTTAGGATAAAAGGCTAGCTGAGGCACTCGGGCCAATTCCCCCCTCCCAATTCTAAAAACATATGGCATTTACAAATCATGGAAGCCATCAGGACTTAAAAGTTTATTCTCTGAGACCTTAGAAAAAGGAAGGTGAAAAGATATGGGTCCAGGCTCTCACAGAATTCCCTGCTCCCCTGCGGGACTTCCCAGGCCCAGCGTCTCTGGCTCCCCTCCTCATAGGGCCACAGCTGCTGGGCCCCCAGGTCCTGCTCTTCACATGTGCATTTCAGGCCAACCAGGTCCTGAATTTGCAGGCCCGAGAGGGCCCATCACTGTTTCATTTCACCCCCTTTTCAGGGAGGGGAATAAGCAGGTGTCTTAGCCATCCTGCTGAGGGAGCGGGCAGGGGGCCTTTGGTGATCCCCAGGCTAGTCCCCATCACAAGTTCTCCTTCAGTAGCCCGAGCTTGCGCAGGGCCTCCCGCCGAGCTTCCTCTGTGGAGCCCCGGCCAGAGAACTGCACAGTGATGCCCTGGGGCCTGAACCCCACTGCTCTGGGGAGAGAGCCTGCCCGCTTCCTGGCGTCCTGGCCACAGTCTGGAGGCCGGGGCTCGCAGAAGCTCCTGCTGGCGTTCTGGCGTGCAAGCTTGCTGGCAAGAGTGGGGTCTGGGCGGAAGGTGACGGTCTTTCCAGTAGACATGAAGGGACTGGGCTCACTCCGCAGCACCTCATGGATGCTCTGGAAGCCGTTGGCCAGCACTGGGGGCTGCTCTGTCTGCACACCTCTGGACTGCTGACCACCACTGGCCTGCGCGCCTGCTCGTGGCCCTTCAGCTTCCTTGGCCAGCCCTGGCTTGCTCCAGGAGGGCGTCCCCTGATCTGCAGGGACACTCCTCTTCTCTGTGAGATCACTCTTTGGTGACTGGTTTTCTGTGTCCCCCGAGGTGAGGAAAGAGACGCCGTTGATGTTGGCCAGGACCTGGGCTTTGCGCTCCTGAACGTTGACGGCTGCTTTGGAGATGGTCTTGTTGAAGTCCTTCCCAGAGCTGTTGGTCACGCTGATGTTGCTGGGGAAGCGGTGAATCTTGGGCGCAGGCTGTGCTGTGTGTCGGTGCCAGGGGAATTGGTCTCCGTTTCGAGAGGCTAAAGAAGTCAGTGTCCGCCACTCTCCAGGCCTGCCCTCCTTCGAGGGGGATGTGGGGGAGAGGGCTTCATTTCCTGCCAACTTCTCGGAGATTTTCTGAGCAATCACAAGCGGAGTAGGGACTGAGCGGGGTAGCTTTGGGTGCTCTGCTGGGGGAGAAGGGGAGGGCAGCTCCCTCCTGGTGTAGGCCAGGGCTGGGACATCAGGCAGGGAAGGTGGCAGAGGAAGGGCTTCAGGACCTGTGGGCGCTGGTGCTTGGGAATTCTCAGTGTCTTGTTTCCTGCCTTTGAGGACAGCAACGTGCTCCTTCCCAACAGGTCCAGCCCCTGAAAAGTGAGGGAGAAACTTCATAAGCTTCCACCTAATGTGAACAAAACACATGCATTCCTGTTGCCCAAATCTGAGTCTCAAAGGGACTCGCCAACTTCCTCAGAGCCTGACCCTGGACTGGTGAGAGAGCACGTCTCTTATTCTCATGACCACACGCTGAGAATGCCCAGGCCACGACAGTGAAAGAACCAGCCAGCCCGGGAAGCAGCCCAAAAAGGCTCTGAGGCCACCACCTTGAGGCGAGGGACGGAGGCGAATGGCTGCCTTCTCAGGGGACTTCACAAACGGGACACAGAGGCTGTACAGTTGTGTGGCACACCAACCCCCCAGCAGATCTTTCTAGAGGAAGGACAGGCTACGCCTGTTTCCTCTGAGGCACAGAAATGCCTCCTGGCAGCTCCAGGTGACACCTGGCTAGCCTGCCCCACAGACCACAGCACTTCTCTGCATGGCCTGTGGCTACAAAACCGCCAGCTCCTCTTTTTATCTTTGTCTTCAGAATCTCACACAAGACCCGCCACAGAAGAGGCACCTAAAATTGCCATGAAATATCATGTGAGAGAACTGGTGGGCATGTGGGGCATATTTCCTAAAAGTGTTTTCTTCGGCACAATTATGTGAGCTGGTATTTTCAAGGGATCAGCAGGTTCATATTACTTTTAGGAACTATCCTGCAGAGCAGCAGTGTAATAAAATGCGAGATTCATATTGTCTCTTCCCTGAAGAGATGGATGCAAACCAAGCTCTATTTTTATAGGGAATCTGTAACTGTGGCAGGTGAAACTATGAGTAACACACACCCTTGCTTAAAAAAATGCACCCATTTCTAGAGGCTTGTGACAAGTAGCAGTATTTCCTAGTAACCGGAGCAGAAGTACTCCCCACTTAGTTCCTCCCTCAATATTTTTTTCAGTCTGGGGGAAAAAAAAAAAAGCAAAGAAAAAGGAAGGCCTTTTTATACGTCCCTTTCCCTCCAGTGCCATCAGAGGATTCAACAGAGAAAAAGCACACCTCTCCTCTGGTGCCACTTGGAGTCAAGGAAAATGTACAAACTAGACGCTGACCCGGACGTCTACTCTGATCTTTTTCTGTCTTCCTGAGCGAGTTGAATTTTTCAGTTCAAATATTCCCACCTTGGAAAGTATGTGACAGAATGAAGTAAAATCTTGCACTAAGATAAGTACCGTGTAAGACAGAATTGTAAGACAGAATTGTTACCTGGAAGCTACTTCAATTTTCTTTCTTTCCGTGTGTGTATGCATTTATGTGTACACACACATACACATACATAAATAAATAAAATCTACTCATATACTCAACCAATTTCAATGTCTTTTTCAGTCCTCATTCCAGTCCTTTTGGAATTTCCCGCGTCAGACACCTGACTACCTACCCAGAGGAGGTTTCTCCCTGTGGAAGCAGATGAGCTGCAGGAGCCGCTGTGCTGGCAAACGCCGCACGGCATCTGGGAACCTAAACACCAGCATCTAAACAAAAGGTCCAGGGACCTGTACTTCACCCCTCACCTGCTTCCTGGGGCATCTCTGGAAGGCACTCCATGTCCCCAGCTGCAGGTCTTGGCTGCACTAAATCGATGACATCTTCAGGCTCAGAGTGACTGGAAGGGCTCTCCAGAGACTGCGGAGAGTGGCAATGAATACCACTGTCACACAGGGTTGGCTCCTCAAAGTCATCTTCCAGGGAATCAAGAGTCTCTTCAAAAAACAGGATGACATCCTTCTCCTCGTGTGTGAGGTGCTTCAGGCTCTCGTCGTCCTGTGACAGATGTTGGGCACAGAAGAGAGAAACAGTGGTGTCACTAAAGTCAGAAAGCAACAACAAAGTGGGGTCAGTAGTCCAGGGTGGAATTCACTGCACTCTAGGAGTTACCACTTGTGTTACCCACTGACCAACTGCACCTGGACACCCTCACCATCTTAACCTGCACGGAAAAAATATATGGTAAAAAATATGTAGAAAACAGAGGGTCTTCAACAAATGGTGCTGGGAGAACTGGAAATCAATATGCAGCAAAATGAAAATAAACCCCTATCTCTCACCATGCATAAAACTCAGCTCAAAGTAGATCAAGGACCTAGGAAGTACACCAGAGACCATGTGCCTAACAGAGGAAAAAGTAGGCCCAAATCATCATCACGTTGGATTAGGCCCCGACTTCCTTAACAAGACTCCTAAAGTGCAAGAAATAAAATCAAGAATTAATACATGGGATGGACTCAAACTAAAAAGCTTCTTCTCAGCAAAAGACACAATCAATGAGGTGAAAAAATTTGGAAGCAAATTTTTGCCACATACATGTCAGATAGCATACTAATCTCCAGGATATATAAAAAACTCAAAAAACTTAATACCAAAAAACAACCCAACAAAAAACCCCCCACAAATAACCCAATCAATAAATGGGGTAAGGAACTTAACAGATACTTCACAGAAGAAGATATACATTTGATCAACAAATATATATAAAAAAGTCCAACACCTTTAGTAATTAGGGAAATGCAAATCAAAACTACTCTAAGATTCTATCTCATGACAGTCAGAATGGTAGTTATCAAGAATACAGACAACAATAAATGTTGGCGAGGATATGGGGGAAAAGGCACACTTATACATTGCTGGTGGCACTGCAAACTGGTGCGACCAATCTGGAAAGCAGTATGGAGATTGCTTAGAAAACTTGAAATGGAACTATCATTTGACCCAGCTATCCCACTTCTTGGTCTATACCCAAATGACTTAAAATCAGCATCCTATAGCAACACAGCCACATCAATGTTCATAGCAGCTCAATTCACAATAGCTAAACTGTGGAAGCAACCTAGATGCCCTTCAATAGATGAATGGATAAAAAAAAACTGCGGAATATTACTAAGCATTAAAAGAGAATAAAGTTATGGCATTTGCAGGTAAATGGATGGAGTTGGAGAATATCATGCTCAACAAAGTAAGCCAACCTCAACCAAAGGCCGAATGTTCTCTCTGATAGGTGGATGCTGATCCGTAACGGGGAATGGGGAGGCATGAGAAAGGAAGAACTTTGGGCAAAGGGGAGGGAGGAGAGGGAGGGTGCATGAGGGCAGGAAAGATGGTGGAATGAGATGGACATCATTACCCTAGGTACATGTATGAGTGCACATATGGTGTGACACTACGTCACATACAACCATAGAAATGTAAAGTTCTGCTGCAATTGTGTACAATGAATCAAAATGCATTCTGCTGTCATATATACCTAATTAAAATAAATAAATTAATTAAAAAATGTAAATAGAGGGTCTTATCCTAAAGTGCAAGAAGTAAAATCAAGAATCAATAAACAGGATGGTATCAAACTAAAAAGTTTCTTCACAAAAAAGGAAACAATCAAGAACATGACAAGAGGGACTACAGAATGGAAGAAAATCTTTGTCACCTACACCTCAGATAGAGCATTAATCTCTACGCTATATAAAGAACTAAAAAAACTTGACACCAAAAAAACAAACTATCCAATCAATAAATGGGCTAAGGAACTGAACAGACACTTCACAAAGAAAGAAATACAATTGATCAATAAACATATGAAAAAAATGTTCAATGTCTCTAGCAATTAGAAAAATGCCAATGAAAACTACACTGAGATTCCACCTCACTCCAGTCAGAATGGCAACTATCAAGAATACAAATAATGAATGCTGGTGAGGATTTGGGGGAAAAGGTACACTCATACATTGCTGGTGGGAATGAAAATTGGTGCAACTATGCTGGAAAGCAGTATGGAGATTGATTAGAAAACTTGGAATGGAACCACCATTTGACCCAGTTATCCCCTCCTTGGTATACAACCAAAGGACTTAAAATCAGCATACGAGAGTGACACAGCCACATTTTAAGTTTACAGCAGCTCAATTCACAATAGCTAAACTATGGAACCCATCTAGGTGCTCTTCAAGACAGATGAATGGATAAAGAAAATGTGGCATATATACACACTGGAATATCACTCAGCCATAAAGAAGAATGACTTTATGACTTTTGCTGGTAAGTGGATGGAGCTGAAGACTATCATGCTAAGTGAAATAAGCCAATCCCCCAAAACCAAAGGTCGAATGTTCTCTCTGATACGCAGATGCTAACATTCAACAAGGCAGGGGGATAGGATAGAAGTTCAGTGGATTAGGCAAAGAGGAATACAGGGAAGGAGGCGGGCTGAGACTATGAAGGACAGTGGAATGAACTGGACATGACTTTCCTATGTTCATATATGAATACACAGCCAATAAAACCCTACATCACGTACAACCACAAGAATGGGATCCTAATTAGAATAAGTTACACTCCATATATGTATGTCAAAATGCACTCTACTGACATGTATATCTAAAAAGGACAAATAAAAATTAAAAAGAGAGAGAGAGAAAAGAAAATAGAGGGTCTTAACCCTACCGCGGGCTCTAGCCTCTTGGTTCCAGGTCGATGCAGTAGAGCAACCCTCCTTCAGCACCGCCTCAAGAGAGCTGTTTTCAACTGACCACTGTTCACTTTCTTGTATCTCCAGATTACTGTGGGCCCGGGGTGGGGGGCAAGGGGACTCATAATGAAATAGAGTGGGCTGGACTCGTATATACATAAAAATATCTCCTCTCCCTTCAGAAGCCCACTAAAACAATCCAAGGATTTCTTTTTAAAAATAGGTGTAAATCACAAAGACAAAGTCAAAGGAAAAGAGAACAAAACAAAATAAAGGAGGCTAGAGAGCAGAAGGACAGGGAAATGAATTAAGATGACCCAAGACGACAGACTATCAGGGTGGCTACCAGGAAGGCCAGTCGCCAACCTGCTAAGCTCTGTGGTCCTGAGCTTGGCACTGAAGCCCCAAGCCTTCTGGAAGTGTGGCAAAGGGGGTCTGGAAAGCATCAAGTTGGCTGAAGCCCCCTCTCGGCAATGAGAATGGCCCAGCAGAAAATGAGGTGCAGTTATTAGAGAAGGCAAAAAAACAAAACAAAAAAAAACTTTGAATTGGGGCGATCAAGCAGGACTGATGGCTTACTGGAGATCGGGGGGTGGGTAAATGAAGCTAAACTAATTCAGTGTAGACAGAAGACTGTAAGAGTGTTTACTGGAGAATCTGAAGGGTCCAAGAGCTCAAAAAGTTGACTTCAAGGGTTCCCTGAGGTAGCAGCTACAGGTGAAAACCACCATAGACAAGTCCCAGCCTAGAATTATTCATCAGTTTCTGAAGTCCTACTCTTGCATGCATCTGAAGAAAATCATTCACTTTCTTCAAAGATAAAACCAAAAGCAACTATGCAGTGATAAAACTACAAAAAGGTCATCACCATCAATAGCCCATAAACAACATGACGCTGAATTCATAAACAACACCATGCTATTTTTTAAAAAGCTGACCTGGGTGTGGTGGCACACGCCTGTAAACCCAGGGACTCAGGAGGCTGAGGCAGGAGGATCTCAAGTTCAAGACAGCCTCAGCAATTTAGCAAGATCCTGTCTCAAAATAAAAAATACAAAGGGCTGGGTGGTAGAGCGCTCCTGAGTTCAATCTCTGGTACTATGTAATAAATAAATAAAATTTTAAAAACTGAAGGACAAAGGTGCTTACAAATTTAAAATGTTAGCAGAAAAATGAACTAAATAAAAGTTTAAAAGATGATTTAAAAAATTAGAAAATCATAAAAATGAAAGAAAAAAGAGAAAGATAAAAAAAAAAAAAAGAAAGAAGAACAGAAAGAAGAGTGTTTTCTGGGGAATCTGAAGGACAAGCCTGGGAGGGCCAATCTCTGAATACTGAGGGTTCCCAAAAGAGAAGCGGAGAAGGAATCATCAAAACACCCCTGAGCAGAAGCACACGAATTTCCAAATCAAAGGGGCTGACCCAATGAACAAAAATAAAGGAGATTCACACCAACACACACCACTGAGAAATTTCAGTATGCCGAAATCCAAGAAAAGAAACTGAAAACTTTTTCACTCTTCTTCAGAGTGAAAAACCAGTTTCTCCACAAAGGCGAGCAATTGGAACGTGATGACCATGCTGCGGCGGGTACGTACTTTGGTTAAGTACCCTCATTTTCCTCTGGCTACAGAGAGAATGAAAAGGGTGCTGGCCAGGGCTGGGTTGTAGCTTGGTGGTAGAGCACCTGCTTGGCTTGTGCAGGGCCACAGAGCAGGTCAGTGGCGGCCAGGAGTGGGGGAAAGAACGGGGGGCTTGGTGGAGGCTGCTCATGGACATGAGATTTCTTTTTGGGGGATAAAAATGTTCATGCCGTGGCACTGCAAAAGTAAAATAATAAATAAAAGGGCACTGGCCTACAGTGGACCCTCCGCTTAGGAGATACACCAATTTCCCCCATAAGGGTGGGACAAAATGAGTGTGGACTCTAAGCCCACGTCTAACCCAACCTCAAAGCCAGCAGTCCCCTTCTGGAGGAGAAGCTGGGGAGGGTGCCCCCGTGCACCTGTTTATGCCCTGTGTGCCACTGGGCCAGGCCAGCTCCCACACCCAGTTAGAGGCTTATGTGGCTTCAAGGGTCACACGACCACTGGCGGAGGGGCGAAGACCAGAAGTGGGCTCGCTCTCTACTTGCCTTTTGCTCTGCCAGCCCCTAACTTATTCCCTTTCCTAACCATGCACTGGTAAGTGTCAATAGAGGGCTCTGACACTGCTCACAGCTTGTCCCTTGTTCCTGGAGTTCTGCAGTTCACAGTCTCAACTATGCTCTCCACTTTTCCTGCACAACATGAGACTCTTCGCACCTCAGCTTGGCTCAGCCTAGGCCTGGCTCCAGCCCTAGGCCACCAGGATTCTGGTTTCCTCCACCTGAGGTCTTTATGGAGAGGGGCGGGAACCTTCTTTGTGGCCTTGAGTCCTTATCTGAGGCAAGGCCAAATATGCTGTGGGGTCAGTCTGTTGCCCAATATCCCAGACACAAAACCACCCTTGCAATGAACCCGGACTCTGCTTGCACCTGGGACGGGGAAAGGCAGAAACAGAGAAAAACCCCAGCTGAGGGTAAGGGAGCGGGGTGCTTCAGAGCCACAGAAAGGGCACTCTGGCCCAAGTCCAGAAGAGTTCCCTCTGCTCCTCCTGCTACATGGAGATGCTGGACACTGCCTCAGACAAGGATGCTAAAGAGCAAGACATGCATGGTCCTGGGGAAGAGGATGAACATCATGAGACAAATCCTCGAGCCAGAGAGCAGGTTAGTGATGGCCAGGGGTTGGGGGGAGGCTGCTCATTGACATGAGGTTTCTTTTTGGAAGATAAAAATGTTTTAAAATCCACTATAGTGATGACTGAGTAACTCTGCAAATATGCAAAAGCCACTGAAGAAGTCAATTTTATTTTTATTTTTGATTGATACACAAAATCACAAAATTCTGCATGCCATGTGATGTTTCCATACATGTAACCTACTGTAATGCGCAAGTCAGGTCAAACATATCTGTTTCTTCAGATGTTTCTTTCTTTATGGGGAAAGCTTTCAAAACTTTTTCTTCTACCTTTCTGAAATGCATAATACATTGTCATTGCCTGCAGTCACCCTACTGTGTGATGGCACCCAGAACTTGCTCCTCTCTGACTGTAACTAAGACCCACTCATCACCCTTCCCCCATTCCTCTCCCATCCTTCCACTGTCCCGGGCCTCTGGCACCTCCTTCTACTCTCAGCCTCTACGAGATGGACTTTTTTAGAGTCTTCGGATGAATGAGATGATGTGGTCTTTGTCTTTCTGTGTCTGGCTTATTTCACTTAATTATCTCCAGCAGTTCCACCCCTGTTGGTCACAGAAATGACAGAGCCCATTCTTCTTTGTGGCTGAGTGACATTCCTTCATCCTTTCATAGGCAGAAGAACACTCAGGTTGTTTCCATTTCTTAGCTCCGGTGAATAGTGTTTCAATAAGCACGGAGTGCAGAAGTTGCCCTGACAGACTGATTTCATTTCTTTGGATACACACCCAGGAGTGGGATCGCTGGATCACATGCTAGTTCCATTTTTAACTTTTTGAGGAAACTCCATGCAGTTTTCCATAATGGCTGTACCAATTGACGTTCCCATCCATAGTGTTCAAGGGTCCCCTTTCCTCCACACCCTCACCAGCACTTTCATCTTGGGTCTTTTTGGTAAAAGCCATTCTCACTTGGGTTTGTGGTTTTGATTTGCATGATGGTTAGTGATGTTGAGCATTTTTTCATACAACTCTTGGCTACTAGTTTTCTTCTTTTGAGAAATGTCTATTTAGGTCTTTTAACGCCCCCCCCCCCCCCCCCCCCGTTTAGTCAGGTTATTTGATTTCTTTTTTTTGCTTTTGAGTTTTTGGAGTTCTTTATGTATTCTAGATTTCAACCCCTTGTCAGGTATATAATTTGCAAATATTTTCTACCATTCTGTAGATTATATTTTCACTCTGTTGACTGATTGTTTGCCGTGCAGAAGATTTTTAGTTTGATGTAATCTCATTTGTCTAGTTTTGCTTTTGCTTCCTTTGTTTTGGAGGATGTTGTTCAAAAAAACCTCTGTCCATTCTAGTGTCCCAAAGCACTTCCCCCTTCAGTAGTTTTATAATTTCAGGTGTTACATTTAAGTCTTTGATTTTTTGTAACTGGCAAGAAATAGGGGTCCAGTTTCATTCCTTGGCATGTAGAAATCCAATTTTTGGAGCACCATTTATTGAAAAGTCTGTCCTTTTTTCAATATGCATTCTTAGCACCTTTTTTGAAAAGCAGTTGACTGTAGTGTGTGTTCACCTCTGGGCTTTCTATTCTGTTCCACTGGTCCCTGTGTTGTCTTTTTTAACGCCAACACCATGCTGTTTTGATTACTGCAGCTCTGTATTAGGTCAGGCAGTGTAATTCCTCTTGCTTTGTTCTTTTTCCTATTTTCAAGATAGCTTTGTCTATTCAGGTTTTTTAATGGTTCCATATGAATTTTGGGATTAGTTTTTGGAGTTCTATGAAGAATGTCATTTGGTACTTTGATAGGGACTATAGTGAATCTGTAGATTTCTTTGGATAGTATGGACATTGGGATGGACAGGAATGTTCTAAAATTGACTGTGGTGATGCTTGCACAATTCTGGAAACTTGCTAGAAACCGCTGAATGTAGACTTTAAGTGGGGAACTTTATGGCATATGAATTATACTCAAATAAGAAAACAAAACAAGGAGTGGACCAGTGGCCCCACATGGAGGACAGAAAGCTGGAACCCACGGTGGCCTCCCTGCTAAGCTTGCGGTGCTTTGGGAAGTGGTATCTACTAAGTTAGTTCCCAAAGAACTAAGCAGATAGCGGACGAGGAAAAACAAAAATGGCAGTGTTCTTGAGTGAGTTAGAAAAAAACGTAAGTTTGTCACTATTAATTTGGAAGGCAGTGGCTGACAGCAGAAATTTTTAAAATCTCTTTCTACAAATGGTATTTGTAACATACCAATTTGGGCTGTGGAGTAAAAGAAGTCCCTTTAAGGCTGAAAATCTCCAGATGTTAAAAGAACTATCGAGAAAACTACACCTCGCCTATTCTTTCCCACCATGCTGACCTGAGGTGACGGCCACAGGTCTGCAAGGGAAACACTGCTTCAGGGGAAACATATTGTACCTTAATATGTACATTGTGGTTTTGAAGAAATGATTTCTCTCTCTTCCTCTTTCTCTTATTTATTTATTTTTGGTACTGGGGATTGAACTCAGGGATGCTCAACCACTGAGCCGCAGTGAGACCCTGTCTCTAAATAAAATACAGAATAGGGCTGGGGAGCCCTATTTTGTATTTTATTTAGAGACAGGGTCTCACTGAGTTGCTTAGCACCTTGTTTTTGCTGAGGCTGGCTTCGAACTTGCAATCCTCCTGCCTCCTGAGCTGCTGGGATTACAGATGTGTGCCATCACACCCGGCTTCACACATTCTCCTTATAGATACAAAAATTCTCTCTGACATTTGAGCAATATTATACTGAGTTAATAATGTAGTTGACAAGAGAACCCCCAAAACTGAAATAGAATAAAGACAAGGAGAAGGAAACACAACCAAGCCTCTTATGAGCTTTAAATGCTTCTGCTTACTGTGGCAACCTCAAAAGAAGGACCATAAGTGCACATGGCCTTCTTTGAGTTTCAAAATGAGGGCTTAATTATGGTTATTTGAAACTAGACACTATTGTAACTTTTCACTATGGTTAACTTGAACCTATACTTCTGATAGGAAAGAGACATAACAAACCAGCAGGGAATGAGATGTGTACTGTTTTGATTACAAAACTACAGCAGAAGGGGTTCAAAGGACTATATTTGAGCTCCCTTTAACATCTTTAAACTGGTAATACAAACTCAAATCTCCATTCCTCATCTAGTTTTTTTCTTTGGTACTGGGGACTGAACCCAGGGGCACTTAACCACTGGGCCACATTCCCAGCCCTTTTGAGTACTTATTTAGAAACAGGGTTTTACTGAGTTGCTTAGGGTCTCGCTTTTGCTGAACCTGATTTTGAACTCGTGATCCTCCTTCCTCAGCTTCCCAAGCTGCTCGGATTACAGGTGTGTGCCACCATGCCCAGCTTCTCATCTGCTTCTTGATCTGTGTCTCTTATGAAGGAATCTTGATTAAGATGGAAACACCTCACATGTGTGGCGTTACAGGTGCTCTAAGATGCTACATAAGCTGTGTCATTCTATCCTAGCTTGACAGGTCTGTCTTGCCCCTATATTAAGAAATACTGAAAAGGTTAAAACCCAGTGTTACTCAGATCTTTTTTGTTGTTGTTGATTGTTTTCTGCTTTGTTGGCGCTGGAGATGGAACCCAGGGGTGCACTACCATTGAGCTACACCCCCAGCCCCTTTTTAATATTGAAACAGGGTCTTGCTAAGATTCCCAGGCTGGCCTTCACTTGCAATCCTCCTGCCTCAGCCTCCCAAGCAGCTGGCACTACAGGCTTGTGTCTCTATGCCCTGCTAAGTGAATTGTTTTTATCCTGTGAGCTGCTTCTCTTCTTTCCGTCATTTGATGTCAAAGTCAGGGGTGTTCCAGCCTGGGTTCCTACTGCCTTCACATTTCTTTCTGGGGCCCAGTTGATCTAAGTTATCAGCTATGGATGGAAATTTGCTCCACTTTCTTGGGTAATGTTCTATATTTATGCAAAACTTAAGATGATTAAAAATAAAAGGCCATTTCATGAAGAACTATTCCAAAACATCAAGCACGTTAACCCCAAGGATTTTCGAAGATATTCTAAAGGGGAAAAGGGTCAAGGCAGAATTAACCAACCAAAGCACATCAAAGCACTGAAGAAAAGCCCCACTCACCAAAGTGAAACTTCTGGACCGCGAACTGCTGCTTCGACTCTCCAGACTCCCACCTCTGCTCAAGTCACTGAGCCTGCAGCTGGGTGACAGGTCGGAGTCCATCTCCGAGAAGTCTGATTTCTGATGGTTTACAGGCATCCCCACAGAAGCCTCAGTTCCCGGCTTGATCACAGGAGTGGGGAAGGAGCCAGTATCCCATTCCGAGGCAGAGGATTACTTCTAGAGAAATCAGAGCAACACAGTTAGTGAGCCTCGTCAGTAAAATGCCTTATCCCTCAAAAATGAAAGGTTGGCATGTGTCAGATTCACCTGCATTCACACACTCAACCATGAGGGTAAAGGAAATCAGGAAACCCCAAGCCTACTGGTGTGCGGATGCTGGTTTCCATTTCTCCTTTTTATCATGGCCCATTCTGAAGATGTGAGAATGATTTTTAAGATACTAGGCATGGTGGCATATATCTGTAATTAACCCTGGTGACTTGGGAGGCTGAGGTAGGATTGCATGTTCAAAGCTATCCTCAGCAACTCTGCGAGACCTTGTCTCAAAATAAAAAACAGAAAGGGCTAGGAATGGAGCTCAGTGGCAAAGAGTCCCTGGGTTCAATCCCTAGAACCACATTAAAAAAAACTCAAAGATGGATGCACTAAAAATGACTATGGTACTCATATTCTTCACATTCAGCACTCAGCATTGCCCTGCTTTTGTTCCCTTAGGCACCACAAAATGGGTTCCTCTTCCAGCTCATTGGAGTTCAGGGTTAAGCTGAGCTGAAGCAAGCTATTGTTACCAACTCACCAGGCGTGGTGGTACGCACCTATAATTCCAGCAGCTCAGGAGGCTGAGGCAGGAAGAACGTGAGTTCCAAGCCAGCCTCAGCAATGGCACTAAGCAACTCAGTAAGACCCTGTCTCTAAATAAAATACAAAATAGGGCTGGGGATGTGGCTCTGAGTTCAATCCCAGGTCCCTCCCTCCAAAAAAAAAAAAAAAAAAAAAGTTACCAGCTGATGCCTGCCTTGACATCTGCAAGATCAAAGACTCCTGGGAAGCCTGGGCTATTGCAACCTCACATAAAAAGTTGTCTCCTAAGTTATACTACCAGGAAGTCCATGTCTACATTACTTCCAGGAACAGAGACATCCAAGGATCCCCTGAAGCTCCTTGGTTTCATACTGTCACCCTTTAAACAGGAAATTCAACTCAGTCCCCGAACATTTGAGTTCAATAAAACATTCTAGAAGACAAAAGAAGACTAACTGGAATAAGTCTCCTGATGATTAATATTTAACAGACACTTGATCATTTGTGGAGGAAATCCAATCAGTATTGAACATCTTTATGGAGACCTTATCATTTGAGATGTCAAAAATTACAGTGAAAACCTTCTTAGAGAAATCCTGCAGACATCTCTTAAAAAAAACAATTCCTCAGCCCATTTCTCTTTTCTTTTCAGATGAATCAGTACAGGTCAAAGGGCAATTTTAAGAGGAAAGCTAGGAAACTGGAAGATTCTGAGCACATGTATTTTTAGTAAGTTATCATTGTTTCAGATAGTCAACGACAACAAGACTTAAAATGTTAAAACTTTAAAAGTTTGCTCCATGATATGAAAAATTTAAACAACACACAAAGTTTATATAAATGTCTAAATAGTAACATACAATCTGTAAATTCAGATGTCCATGTGAATGTCTTTGGTGTCTTACAAATGCTTGACATGAGTCTGGTACACACACACACACACACACACACACACCACACACCACACAACACACCAGTGAGCTGGCCACGGCTGTTCAGGCCGAGGCAGATGCAGCCCCATCCCTGGGCCCGGGAGGAACAGGCAAAGGTGGGACAGGCTATGCAGAGAAGTCAGGACAATTCTTAGGTCCTTCCTGATCTGCAGATTCCCACCCACTGACTCAGCTTGAACTCAGTCCTGAGTGGAGTGAATCACTCTTCCAAGGATAGGGCCGTGGGGCACAAAGCCTTCCTTCACATCCCAGAGAGGAGGTGGGAAGGGAAATGCTGATTCACAGCATGGGGTGTGTGTGTGTGTGGTGGGGGGTGCCCCAGGATGTGGGAAGGTTCTGGACTTGAGCCTGGCTCAGGCCGGGGCGGGTAAGAGTAGCACCTGGAAGCCACCCCAGCAGGGCCAGAGGGTTCTGCCTCTCACACCCTCCAGAGCACACCTCTTGGGAACATACCTCTTTCATGTGTTGCTGTGGTTTAAAAGTTTTTTTTTTTTTTTTTTTTAAGTTGCAATATGGACACAATGCCTTTATTTATTTTTATGTGGTACAGAGGATGGAACCCAGTGTCTTACACATGCTAGGCAAGCACTCTACCACTGAGCTACAACCCCAGCCCTTATTGCTGTGATTTTGAAAGCTATAAAACTCTAATATTTAGGCTGTGCAAAAGAATATGAGGACGCCAGCCAGGATCTTCCAGAAGGCAGGGGCTGTGAAACCTTGCTCTCATTTCCTTCCCAGCCTGGAGAGGCCAGTCTTCTGTGATCTCTTGAGGAAATCAAGAACTAGTGGTTCCCTGATTCTGGTTCTGAAAATCCAGAACTCCACGGGAGGCCCACTGTTGAGGGCAGAGTTTGAGAGTAAGCAGCCTGCCCTACCTCGCCCTGGACACGAGCACACCGAGACCGGGACATGTGAGGAGGAGGAGGCGTAAGGGGTGGCAGTAAAGGACCACAGCTGAAGGGTCCATGTGGGTCCTGACCACTTTAAAATGCCCACTTTCCTTCCAATCATGGGTTCAGTCTTTGGATGTGCAAAACAATGCACACTATAAAAAGTGACACTGCAGTCTGATTGACAGGCCCATGGATGAAGAAACCGATTCCACGAAAAGGGCAGAGGGCTAAGAAATCATGACAAGCCTAATACTGAGAGAGAAATACACACCCTGCGTGCTCATTCCTTTTATTCTGTTTCCTGTGTTTATTTCTCATTATTTACTAAATTGCCCAGGCTATCCTTGAACTCACAGTCCCCAGCCTCAGGCTCCCAAGGTGCTGGCGTTAACAGGTGATGTCACTGCGCCTGGCTTCCAGAAGCATCCTTTTTCCATAGTCTAGTTTATCATTTGAGCAAACAGAACAAGGACGAGGTCACAGCAGGTCATAGTCCTGGTGGATCTGAGTCTCCTGGGCATGGCTGGTCAGGAGGACAGCAGTCAGCTAAGGAGCTCCTAGGAAATCCGGCGGATGAGGAGCAGGAGCGCAGTCAGAAAGGCCACTCCTGTACTTCATCTTCCCAGACGGTCCAGAAAGACCAGGAATGACCTAGCTGGTACGCGTCAAGGCCTCCCTCACCACCACTCCACCCCATCTCGATTCCAGAGCCACAGCCAGGACACAGAGCAGCCCAAGTCCTTCCCTCACTCACCCGAAAGCTCTGGTTCTGCCGAGTTCCAAAGTTGATCTATGCCAGTCAAAGCCCTATCCACAGGCACAGGGGCTGACCCCTCCTCCTTCCTGCCTCTCACAACCAGCTGCCAGCACCCAAGATACTCCCTTTAGCAGGACAGTGTTATCACTTCCTTTCTGGTCCCACTCCCTAGAGCAGGGCTGCGGACACGCCTACACTGTTGCCAGAGCCATCGACTGCTCTCCTTGCCTTCTTATTCTTCTTTACACTTTGGCTGTATTTTTCTGCTGGTTTAATCGTAACATCACTGTGGCTGGGCGTAATAGTGCATGCCTGTAATCCCAGGGACCCTGTAGGTTGAGACAGCAGGATATCAAGTTCTAGGCCAGCCACGGCAATTTATTTTAAAAATAAAAAGGGCTGGGGACGTAGCTCCGTGGTAAAGCATCCCTGGGTTAAACACTCAGTACCAAACCAAACAACAACAAAAACACCACTGTGACACCTTGTACCACCACTGTAAGCAACCAATTTTAACCCACTCCCAATTGGTTTCAGAATCAAAGTTTCATCCTTTGATCAATATTTGTTTCAATCTGAGCCTTATCTTCCTTTTTAACCTAGGCATGTTCTTGAATTGACCCTTTTTTCCCCACACTGAGCAGATTCTAGGCACTAGAGCGAGATGAGTAAGAGCCATCTCCCCACAGGAGGACTTCATCTATACCCGGCTTCTAAATCAGGCAACAAGTCAGAAATGCTATAGGACTCGGACCCAGACCTACGGAAAGCATTTCTGGTGGCAAAGCTTGGGCATGTGGTTTTTAAAAAAAGTTTTACAAGTGACTCTGTGTATCACATCAACTCTAATCAAAGATAGATGTGTAGCCAAGTTCAGTGCCACGACAGGGGACACGGGGTGAGACAAAGGAGCACCAACTCTTCCTGGAAGGGGACACTGAGCAAAAGGGACACTGAAAGCCAAACCCTGAAAGCTGGGTGTGATCTCTGGAGACTGCTAGTTAAATTCGGATGGGAGTTCCAAGTAGAGAAAGAGAACGGGCGAGCGTACAAAGATGCAGCCTTCTGAACAACAGTGAGTGGCTGGATCACAACCTAGGTGAAACAGGAGGTGCAAAACAAGCTGGAAAAGGGACAGAGGTATGTAAATGGAGGGACGTGGAGAACTGGACCAGAGCACAGAGCCTCTGAATCGTGAACTTGACCCACAGACGACAGCCAGCCACGGAAGGCTTACACCCACTGGAGTGACAGAACCACGTTCTGGTTTAGAAAGATAACTTTGGCAATAGTTTGAAAAGTAGGCAGAATCAGGGGGAAAATTTAAAAGCAATTAGGATAACTGAGTCCCACGTACTGTTAAAAAAAAAAAAAAAAAAGAATGAGGCAGCTCAACGATCACCAAGACATTATTTTTGAGAAAAGTATAAGGGCGAGAGCAAAGTTTAATGTACTTCCACATTTATATGGAAATAAACAAGAAAAAAAGTACATGCTTTTACATGCAGATAATCTCTCTGGAAGGACATAACAGGGAAAACTGTAAGTGGCTGTCTCTAAGGAGGGCAGAACAGTGACAGGAGACCAGGATGGAAATCTAGGACCACATATAAAACACTATGCTTTGCACAAAAATGAGGAATTTTACAATAAGAATGTATATTTTGGGGGCTGGGGTTGTGGCTCAGTGGCAGAGCACTTGCCTAGCACGTGTGAGGCACTGGGTTCGATTCTCAGCACCACATATAAATAAATGAACAAAATAAAGGTCCACCAACATCTAAAAATAATTTTAAAAAAAGAATGTAT